AGCGAAGCAGCTAATAATTGCTCAACTCACCTGCGGATGATCCTGAAGCAGGGGGACGACCAGGAATGACCTGAGTCACGTGTTTCCACTTACTCTGTTTCATAACTGAATTGTCTTCTGTCGAAACTCAAGCTCTGACATAGGATTAGGGACGTTGGAGACCTTGTCTGATGCACTTGCCTCCACGACCCGAAGGGATGAGCTTTGATGGAAGCTGACTGTCTGAATGATGTATCGGAAACTTAAATAAAAAACCAAATTCCAACGCAACGAAGCCGAAAATAAGTAAAAGTGGTATATCATTGCAAATGTATGTTGATGTCGCTGATTGCGTTAGTGCAGCAGTGCCTGTTGAAACATCAGATTTCGTTTCACATTTTATCTCCCTGCTGCTCCTGGTTGCCTTAGGGGAGGGTGAGTCTGTTATGCACCATCATGTGTCGCATTTAAGCACCTGCAGTAGCGTGGATTCACGTGACGTTTTATTCGGTGGAGCGATTTCATGCTTACCCTGAGAGGTGTCTCAGGAGTTGGTTTTCTGGTTTCAAACGTAAAAACACCTGCGAACCATGAAAAGAACTACTGAAACCAATCCACGTCTATACGTCTATAGGTTGAACAGCGGGCTGAAACGTCGTGCCGATCGAACATATATGATGCCCATATTGCACTTGTTTTATAGTATGTTCTTTACACAAAAAAATATGGGTTCGTTCGTGGGAGTGAACGATTCATCCTGTATCAGATTTCACGACGTTTTGCACCTCAGTTTTGTCCCTGGTTGCCTATAGGGGTTCTTTAAGCAGGCCATAGCTCCATGGTGTTTGAGCAGGCAACGTATGCTTCTGACATCGTTTTATGCGTTTTATTGAGACATCTCACCGCTTTTTTGCTCCTCACTCACTTTGAAGGGACGGGGGAGTATAAGCAGTGCACCACTCGATGCGTTTGAGCACCTGGAGTGTTAGATAAGTTGTGAAACTTGGAGGAATAATTCACCTGTTTGCATAAATCCGTAAACTCGTAATGTTTAAACAGTGTTATAGTAATTAATTAAAATCCATATTTAATGGCAGACTTGGAAGGTCTGATACATCTGATTGCCCTAGTCAGATGATGTTCAACATGCAGTAGATGATTAAGAAAGAATGGAAACCGTCGTTTCCATTGATGCATTATTTATGGTGTTTGCGTTCTTTACGACTATCCTCTGGATGACCTTAAAATAGGACAGAGCCTGAAAATATGCGGATATAAAAATCTTGTTTTACATAACTGTATTTGCTGCGTGAACATATGGTTTATCCGAACAGCACTGAAGAGAAGAGATGTGCAGGAACAAAATCAGCTGGTAAAAGAGAAACACTGTGTAAGCGATCAAAGTAGAATGCAAGCGCATGAAGATGGACAGACAAAGCAGGAGGGAACCTATCGCCTAACTCTGCGTCGTTATATTTTATACGAGATTTTGTTTTTTGTATTAGCTTATCCATACCTCAACGTTTCTAGTGCAACTCAAGTACTCTGTAACCATCATTCTATTCAAATCCTGAAATTTTGTACCCTTGACCGTATGACGTGATCTGAAAAAAAAGTAAATGCATAAAAAGCAGTAGCATCATTCAAAATAACAAGGCAACTTATTTGCTATATTCACCTTTCGCCCACTTATGCTCTAGTCAGCGAGTATCCATCGCATAATGTGCTATTCTTTACCCTATTCATTAATTTAAGATCTTTATTTCCTCAGATTCAGGTTTTCTGCTGTTTTCTTCGTAAAGCAACCGGGATTCACTCGTAAACTACCTTCATTCCTGCAGCTGCACTACCGGCTGAGTACTAGAAAGTAATTGTTTTTTAGGCACTTCTCAGATATCAAGCAAAAGCAGTCATTGAGTTGCGGTTGCAAATTTGCTTATACCGCTTTCCATAAAGTTCTTTGGTCTATTTGTTTCATTTTTTATTATGTGCTCCATGTTGACGTCAGATTTATTTTTCATGTTAAGCGACAGTTATCACGTTGTTTTCTTCATTTATCTCTCATTTCATATCCCAGCGTTTTCAGGAGTCTCTTTCAGCGGTTGTGATACACCAGCAAGCTTCTACACGATTCTCTCTCTGGGTCACTTGCGACCAGAGTCTTTCCTCTGACATCCTGGTGTACTTACCGTACGTTCCATAGCAGACGTGATCACTTGATTTGGACAAAAGCAAGTCATTGATGAGGTTTTCGCGGATTGTCATATTCCACCATTTTGAGACGCTGCTCGTATCATTGGCACTTTGGAGGAATTTCCAATTCTGCCACTTTTATCCGCGGTCTCATTTTTCGCTCTGTATTTACTGTCATATATGAGGATATGTGCATAGACAGCCAACTCTGATCTCCTGTTAAGCCGTTTCTTCATAATCACAAGTCCGTAACGTTTTTCTTCATTTGTCGCTGTAGCTGATTTTCTGTTCTCAATTCCAAAACGACATTAGCATATGGCCCAGCTCTTTTCAGGGCTCCACTATGCCCTTTCCTCTCAAATCTGTTTGTGAGTATGAACTGCCAAAAAAACTACGAAAGAATCTATGGATCAGACTGTCGCGAACCTGAAGTGACATTTAAAAAAATATTTAACGGAGTTGGCTGCTCGTTTTAAAGTTGCTATGCCTTATGCGACTAATGGAATCTAGTCTTGTTTCCTAGGAGGCGTCACTGATATACGTTGAACTGCATGGAATTAAATGACGAAGTCGATCTTTCTCAGTTCAGCAATTTAGCTTCGATTCTTGCTTCGAATTTTTTTAGCCGTTTTCTCATTGTTGTCATAATTAGTTTTCAGTAGTCAGGTTTCTCATTTCTCTGCCTCTAAACTGAGGCCCCCTTGACTTCAACATTTATTGTATTGTCAGATTATTTGTTGTTCTTCGCGCTGTTTTATTTTTGACGGTAGACCACCTTTTGGATCAGATGCCAATCTGTACTGCGATGTCGTCAATAAGCGCTTCCACATCAAGCTGTTCAAGGCCAATGAAAATAAAGCCAGCTTATGCCAATTTTTTACATCTTTGTCGTCAGTCGTCAATAATCGTTCTCTTGTATGATCTGAGCCATTTCCTAGTGTTTCTCCGTAGCTTTAAATGCTTTTGGCTAATTCTGTATGCTGGAAGATGGTAAATCTTCAGACTCGATGAATGACAACTAGAAAAGCAAGAAAAAGTGTTTATTTATTAGCGGTGCGACGTTTCGATCGAACTGGCATATCGCTGCTTACCGTCAGCCAATATGAATAAAACATACAGTTGCCTGGTTCAGTTGGTTTTCGAGTCCACTAGCAGAATTGTTGCCTTGTCGTTAATGAGGCAGTTAATTCGG